CCGGGTTTTTAGCCCCCTTTTTCAGCTGAACACTCTGCTGAAGCCATTTCATTCCTTTCTTTGGTTGATTGCAGGCACTTTACGAGCCCTAAACAACTAGTCCTGCCAGAAATTCGCGCCTAAGCTTATAAGTCCGCATAGGTTTCAGAAGCCATTTAATGCCATCACAGTCATGTCTCAACTGACAAGAAATTTCACATACTAGAGGCTCTTCGGTTGATTCCTATGTGAAACTTGATCAAAAGGAAAAATCGTTTGCACCCCTTTCTTATTAACATGCAGCGATAAGAGATAAAAACGCCAGGCACAGATATACTTGCAACTACGTGTTTGGCCACCTTCAGCTTCCTGAAACATGTACAATTCGTGGTGGAAATGCCAGCATATGGAGCTCACCCAGGCAAAATAAACTCTTATTTTGATGAAAGAGACGAAAAGAAACGAAACGTACCGAAAAATTTATCCAAATGCATCATTAGACTTAAAAATCAACTAATTTTCCCTTTGCGGAGTCTGCTGACTTCCCAGCATAATATTTCCCATATATTATTGCACTCGACGAGCCGCCACGCTCATAACTTAACGAGCTGATATAGTGACTGCTTGATATGTTTTAAAAAAGGAGATTGTCCTACTAACTGTGTCTTTTTGCCCATGCACGTTTAGGCGTAATCAGGCCTACGCAGTAAAATTCGCACTCTTCGTGACAGTGTTCCTTGCCCACGCGAGCCCCAGTATCCCCAAATCCCGCCAGTCGAGCTTTTATTCTGTAACCTCATAATCATGGCCAACGGTTAAGAATAAATATTACTGTGAATACGACCCGGTAAACCAATTAACAGTAGGTGGCAGTAAAGGAGAAATCTTTCCCGTTATTAGAGGCTTGGGGACGGCGGGCTCCAGTGGTTCACAATAATTATATCCTCTGTAAGCAATATCAACGTCCCTCCTACGTCTCAAGGAATCTGCAAACCTATAGACCCTCTCACAATATCACCCTGGATTAAAGTGGGGTAGAATCGCGGAAGGCCCATAAAACTCCAAAGTCGGGAGCTACTCATAGAATCGATTTAGGAGTAAAGTATGCGTCATGAAACAAGCTCCGTATATTTTTATACCACTTGTCATAAAATGAGCCTCGCAGAGCCTTTAGCCAGGTTTTTTACATACCCGCATGCCAAATTCTAGAACGCTGAGCAAAGAACTCAGATGAGTTTGGAGCAACCACTTTTATACAAACTTTGTCCATACCATTGCATAAACTCAAAACCAAGGCGGATACCAAAGGCGTCAGGAGGATTCCATGGTGTGCCATACGATCTGAGCACAAGTTTAACCTTATGTCGCACCCCTAGCGAACCAAAAAGCTAGATGATACGAATAGTGTACCAGAACTATACCCAAGATCACACGGACATTGACCAAAGCACACAAGTGTTTGGCATCGAATAACAGCTGGTGACCAGCTAAACACCTTAAAAATCAAACACAAAGCTCGCCATCTAGGTAAGCTTAACCAGCTCTCACTCACTCTTTCAGAGTGAGACACAAAGCAGGCGTCTATCACGCCAGTGAAGGCGCTTCAGCCAGTGTGCAAATAGCCTGAAAATTTCTCTCAGGTCACGCTCTAACGTCCCAAAGCACCCGAATCTTTAGACTTGCACACAAACAACAACTGCAAGACCCCATAAATATCTGGTATCTAATATGTCGCAGTTCAACACCACTGTGAAACACAGTGCTACACTAACGGGCTTCGAGGAGTGCACTAACTGGGAAAAGTCACTGTCAGTGCCCTGACTACCCAAGCCCTACTGACTGCCTTCATCTCACGATTGGCATGAAGACATTGTAGCCTCTCTCTTTTACCAGTGACAAAAAAGAACCCGCAAATAAACAGAAAAAACGAATTGTGATAAAAATTGAAAAAAGAGGAAAGAACCGATGGCAGTTTTTGTTTCCGATGTTTGTGTCTAGTGTGAACCGGCTCCAACCCTACAAGATTATTGATGGTTAGGCACTCACCATAGAGGTCTCGTCTGCCGAATTAACTTTTCCACAGTTCTTGACTTGGAACGTAATAGGCGCCTGCCTTCATGGATGAGGAGACAATTGTGAAATCTGTATCCCTCTCTGGAATCAAACTTTTCCGGATGGCCAGAGAAAACGAAAATTCCAAAAGGGCGCCTTGTCCTGAATATTCCCAGATGCCGGACATTGGAAGGGTGAGCATTCATTTTATGCAGCGTGCCTTTAGGAATGGTCAAGCATATATCAAAAGATATTGGTGTCCATTTCCAAAGTATCCGACATTTGTGCAGGTGTTCTCATCTACCAACTTAACCCTCGTTGCTGATATCGGAAACGTATAAGCTTCTTAGATTTATCGAGAGGAATGAGGAAATTCTCCAGGGAAACAAGTTCTTAGCTCAATATGCTAGGCTGGTCGGTTCCATGCCCTACTTAAAAGCCTCATATAACGCATCCTTTCTCGTAAAAGAGGCATCGTGTTAGAAGCAGCATGGTGGGATGTTATCAAAAACATCGATAGGCTAACATGAATCTGTCTGGATGCGAACATGTCTATGCAAACTTCCTCAATAAGAATACCCAAGGTAATAGGGGTCTCAAGCACACTCGCTGGATCGCGAACACCCCAACCCATTTTGGTGAACATCTATAAGGCATAGGGCCGCGTGTGCATAAAGAGCCAATCCTGTAACTCTAAAGCCCTTTGAAAATACGATATCTACACCTTTTGCGTGGCTCGTTTGTGCGAAACCCGGTTTGTCCTATTATATAGCGAAGTATTGGCGGGGTACATGTGCATGTGAAGGAGGGAAGAGAAGGGGACAATAGGCCGCGTTGATAAGCATTCATTGGGCCAGAAGAATATGAGTTAATGCAACGGCTAATAAGGACGAAGCCATTGGCTGGGATGGGTACTGCGGGTGCAGTCAACAAGGCCGCAAATCAAAGTAGTCTCGCAAAGGGAATGCTCCTCTGCGTAAGCACATACACTGGTGACGCTGACACATGCAAATGTCCGCTGTGTCTGCCACTCACAGTTTGTACCTTACAGGGAGATCACTCTAGGGGAACATCACAGGTTGCCAAACATTAGGTCAACTGGAGCCCCATACTCTTTGGCCTACGGAACCATCAATATTTGTCTATCCTTCCATACCGCCAGCAACGCGTGCGTATCCATAGAATGCTGAACATAGCCAGTCACCTCAGTCAAGCAATCGACAGTGAATCAGCGATTTTCACCCATGAATATTTGGTTGTATGGGTGAGCCAGCCAAGCGGTGAGGCTGTAAAATATCCTGTGATTGGGAGTGGCGTTGCGTTTAATCAACGCTGCAGCAGCCCGCCGCGGTAATTTGTAGTTGCGTTCTTCCCATATACAATAAAGTCCCGGTACATGCTCTAAACTACCTCCATTATAGAGTTGCAGGTAACCTCTATGTACACGCCAGGCCCAGAAAAATGGGGACACCGAAAAGCTATTGTTGGCCTACGGAATGGACCAGAAGCATGAAAATGCCGTTCACCGCGACGACCTGTCATGCCCTGACCAGCAACAGAGATTGTAGCCCAAATGACGTCCTGTCTACTATCGACATACGTCCGCAGGCGTTAAGAAGAATCCAGAGGTTGCGAGGTGTTTGTGCAAAACATATAGCCGAATTTGCTCCGTGCATTGACTGTACGTGAATGTCACCGTGCTTTAACAATCCCCAAACGTATGCACGCTTGTAAGCATGAGAAGTTTCTACGTTTCCACAAGATGTTCTTTGGATAACATATAAAATATGCTAATCAGCGATGTTCTTCGTGAATCACGAGGAACGTCACCGCTCTTGAGACGGTCCGGGGACTTTTCCAGGGGTCTCTGTCACGTTCGAGAGCCAAAAGTAACGAATCCAAGTAACATGTACCCAACGTGGCTTCCCTAGATGTCAGGAAGCACGGGGGAAACCACATCAATAAACCGAATAATAATTGGAACTAGGTCTTCCTAAAAGGTAAGAATGACCAGTAATCTTATCGCCCACAGGCAAGAAAACGAGGCCTCTATCTTTGGCCTGTCGTTTTACGGGTTAAGTTAGTTAAGTAGTACGCTAGGTGAATTAAAGTTCCTTATGTCTTCAAAATGGCAAAAATATGAGTAATATCATAAAGAATTATTTACCCGTGCAGTCAATCTTGATGTCGCTCATTCTTATAATATTTCTTTCCCACTCCCCCGCATGGCAACCTTTCCATACTTGCGTTTCTCGTATTTTGACACATCACCATTGTCCATTCTATATGTTGGCCGTATGATCCGTACTGGTTCAACAACGATGCCCGGGAATCTCAGAATCAAGGCAAGCATATGCTTTAAGACCTAAGACATCAGGCACAGGGGTGCCCATCATCCGCACAATGCTCTCAGCTGCAAAAACTGCAAAATGGAGTAAAACTTATTACGCCGAACTGTTGCAGTTTGATGCGTATGTGCTCAAACCAAACGCCGTCGTAATCTACTTTCTTATCTTTGACGCTCACCAAATTTCCTTGTTCACCGAAGCAAAGATGCCATTGGATGGAAAGTCCTGTGGGAAAATTTCCCATCATCGCTGAGACCCCTGGGTGGCTAAATAGGGCTTAAAAGTTTGGACTGGTACTCTCAACTCAATTGCCCGATTGAAATAGTCCATCAGGGACACGTCAAAACCCTCGAAAATTCAATTCCATCGTGCTAATACTGACAGCTGGTTACAGGCAACTAAGCATATCTAATTTCAACCCCACACCGCTCCTACGGAATTCTAACAACCGCGGTGCTCAGGTGTGCATGAGACCGGGAGATATTTGGCAGTGCAGTGAAGTAATGACGTCTGAGCTTAGCCCTCACGAAATCTTGAAAAAAAGATCGGATGAATTCCCCAGGAAATTGCATATGTGGGAATACTGTTTGAATGCACCAAACAAACGTTGGTATGGATGAATGTGTAACGGCGCTCGATAAACAATGTCTGGTGGGGACGGTTAAATTTACATAAGTTATATTTTACAGATGAGGAAGATGACGTGGATGTCACCCGATTCCCTTGTACTGTTTGTCAAAGACAGTTTTCCGAAGCGGCACTAGTGAGTTTCTGAACTTATCCTATATGAATTTCGTCATATTTCTAATCTAAACAATAGTACGTAATGATTTTAAGGGTTAAAACTGATGTATTTTAAAAGAGAAAGGTTTTCGTTGGTCTTCTCTTAAAAAACAGAGTTTCCATTTGCATTGATCGTTTAAACCAGGGCAACTGAACATCAAGGTTTATCGTACATCTTGAAACTTGGAAGCGACACAGGGGTTGACAGTGAAAACTAACCTTGTCTGAGAAACATCACCATTACGACGACCTTTCGAGTTTTAAGTTCTGTGACCTATAAGGAGCTCACCGGAAAAGAAGTATCACCTTATATTGGTTTTTGTGCAATCCAATTATTTTTAAGATGTAACGGTTTTGTTGTACAATATCCGGTGACTTACACGTTTTCTGTATGCACGCGCTATGAGTGTCGTCGGTGAACCAGTGACAAACAAAGTGCCGTCGAACGACTACGTATAACCGGGCAGTCACAAATGATGTACCAACGAGAGATTATTTACGAGATTGTGGTGCTAGAATCAGCCGTTGTTCAGATTGTTGCCCCGGAATTTCACTGATTTACGGACTGACACACAGGATCAGGACAGGATCAGAGCTTTTGCTCAAGTTTCCGTGGTAGGTTTTTTCGTGTAGTTCAGCGGTTGTCGTTCATCTGAAAGGCACAAGTGAAAAAGGGTGTAGCACGGTTTTTTTTATGTCCTCAGCGTGGGGCAATATGCTTGCCAGCGTAAGGATTCGCATAAATAAGTGTCTAGTAGTGCTTTGAACTGGGTTCTAGAAGGAGCGTGGATAACCGTCAGAGGAAGGTCATTCCACGCAGCTACTAACCGAAGTGAGAAAAAATTTTGCCTAATGAATGTGTGCGCTCTGAGCTTGAAAATCTTCTCACCATGTCCCCACCGTGTGTTTGCTGGGTCAACGGTGAAAGACCTGTTGGCCAAGCTTTGTTCAAACGGGACATAATTAAGAATTAGGTCATCTCGGGGACGACGATACTCCAGGGGAAAGGGGTCAAGCATCGCGATACGCGTTTCGTAGTCCACGGACTTGAGGCCGGCAACCATTTTCGCTGCGGCTCGCTGGACACGCTCAACGCGGGTGACGTCTTTCGTTCGTTTTGAATAGACAACTTGGTTTGCGTATTCCAGGAGCGGTCTGACGTAGTCCCCACGGAGCACCTGGAAGTCTATGCAAGTAATGCGGGAGAAGGTGCGCCGGATCATCCGTAAAATGGCGAATGCCTTTTGTGCTGATTTCTCGTGGTGCAGTGAGAAGGACAAGTTTGAGGAGACCCAGAAACCCAAATCATTTTTGGTGTCTATCCTCATGATGTTTTCTGGTCCTTTCTCACAATGCATTCGCTGAGTCTCTTTCAAGTTACATATGGACGCACTTTTCGCCAGTCCATCGACCAAAGCTTTGCAGCGTCTACATCCATTCGGAGGGCACTGGTATTGGAAATCCTGGAAGGTCGTTAACGTAGATCGGAAACAACAGTGGTCCCAGAACGGAGCCTTGAGGAACTCCAGTGGAGATCCAGTGTAGGATTTTCCCTTAAATCCCGTAAGACTCGAGTTTGTGGAGTGGCGAGACGTGTGGGACCCTATCAAATGCTTTTGAGAAGTCGAAAAATACTGCATCCAATATGAGTCCTCCTTCCTCTGCTTGGGTTAAGCTGTCCATAACATTGACAGATGTACATCTCAGTCCCGCGACGGCTGGGTGATTTCTGAACTCATGTTTAATTTAATCCTTCGTTCTTGATGTCCACCACTGAAGAACAAGAAGCAGATTAGCTAGAGCCTTGAAGTCTTCTTCTTACTGGGAAAGCCATTATTCATCTGAAACGTTTTGGGATAACATATGACTGAGCAAACTTCAGTAACAGAAATCGGTGATTTTTTGGGTCATAAACCTTCCTGAAGTCTAATTAATAGTCACCAGGCCTGTCTCCGCTACCTTTTTCAACTAGAAGGCACGTTGACTGAGATAAACACTGCGTTTACGAATGAGCTTATGTAGATCTGCCGAAATGAGCTTGTTTTTCGTCATATGTGTCACCGGCCTGTCTCTTAAAATCGGTTTCAATAGGTTCAGTAAAAAGGGATGTGAGGCTTGCTACACTTTAGTTGAATAAAACGCTTCTAAAACGTCTCTTTTTAATAGATTCACCAATTTATTTTCAAATTAGTCGGTAGATCCGCTTTTTCTCTTCAGTTCTAGGTTGAATCGGCATGATAGTATATATATATATATATATTCATCTGAACCAGCTAACTCACAACAATATAAAATTTCTAGCCCCTTTGGAGATTTCCTCTTCTGTGATTACAGTGCTTAGTATTTCTTGACATTGAACGTTCTGGAGGACGTGCCGAATTTTGGGTCAGTAATTTGACATAAATATGGGGAGGCTGATCCACAAGTAAAGCTCTTTCTGTCCCCCGATTTTGATCTTGGTTTGATCAACTCGGGCAAGGAATGGATCTGGTATATGGATCCGGATACCTGACTAGAAAGTCGACTTTCTAGTCAGCGATGCTTTAGCACCGCCGAGTCTTTGTACATGTCCAGTTTCTAAAAAAAGCTGGATACCAGCTAAATTTTTTCTGATACCGTCGGGTCCGGGTCGCTTCTATTGGTCTGGAAATGGGATGATCCGCTTCCAGACGACTTCTAGCCTCCACTGGACAAAAAATCACACAATGCAACGAAAAATCAACGCATACTTATTTTCTAACCTAGACTAGGATCACTTCAGCAGACAGAGACTGAGGTTCATGACATGTACCTGTAACGATCTCAAGGAGAGAGTCATCTGTTTTAATACAGTGGGAAAAGACTTCAAGAATCCACAAACCCCGAGACTTTCTGTTCCATTTTGGACCAGGCAGAATGCCCAAACTAAGGATACTTTCATCAGATTCGTCAGGAATTATGATGCTTTGGCTTATTCTCTGTACGTAGGGTGCAGACTCAGGTAGAATAACTGGACCTATTGGCTGCAAGGATGCTAATGCAACTAGAAAGTCTCATCAAGGTCAGTGGATGAGTAGAGCTGGACTTGTTTGCTTTTGAATGCCTCCGCACTCCGCTACTAGAGGGCTCTACTTTTGCTTACATCAGTAATCATGAAAGTATCACTAGTGGATACCCATTCTGTATCCACAGTTTCTTCCCCACCAGGTTATTCAGTGGGCTAGGGGCCGAAAAACACAGGTTCTTGGATATACAGCCTTGGGATTGAATGGAGTGTGCAAATATGCTCCTTACAATTTGAACTTCTTGAGTTGTCTTATGCTGATCATTGCTACCTTGAAGTTACTAATACAAGAAGTAGACCGTCCGCCACTTGGTTAATTTACCCGGATCGCCTTGTTTTTTGCAAAAGGAAAAGTGGTTAGGCGGGCAAATTCGATTGGTTGCACATTTCTTATTCCTTTTTTAGTGTTTTTAAGTTTTTCTCCTGTTTCGACTGCCAATCACTCTTGGGTAGATCTCAGATATGGGCATGTCAGTCATGAAACTGGAGAACTGACAGATTGCATGCCGCTATCCATATTCACCGCCATTTTCCGCCATTCAGACCTTGTTTTCCTCTTTTTTGTGATTTTTACGTGGGAACTCTTATGAAGCTCAACTGACCAGCCAGTTCAGAATTCTTGATAAGCTACTCACCAAAGCCTAATACATCCCTGAAACAATAAAGAATCCAAGCACATCTGCTAAGCTCACGGCACTACCACTAATTAGATGCTACAGAACAAAAGCTTAGGAGAATTCTGTGACGGATACAGCGGGTTGCACCGATGTCGGTATGTCCTTCACTTTTGAACTGAGGATTCACTGTCATACCGGATGCTCGTAAACAGCCAGCTCTGTGCTTCCCGAGATTCTGATTCGATAGAAGCTCGCATCAGTCAAAATGAGTGCTTTCTTATCATATCCATTTGTTCATCAGTAAACTATGTCCCTTTGAAAGTAATCTTCCATCAAGAATCAACCGCAGTCTATCACAAAGAGTTTGTGTATGGTCGTTATTGCGCAAGAGTGTATGGCGCAGGTATCGCGTCTCAGTTTGTCAAGTGCGTGCCATGGTGATACTTTAGTGTGAATGCAAAACCAAATTATAGTGGTTTACTGATCATTAATTGTTTATTACCAGTACTTGGTTTTGACTCATCGGAGAGTTTTGTGCTCCCTGGAAACCCCATACCACTGGGCATTTTTTTCGGGTAAAATGGCCACATCGTGGCAGTAGCGACGGTCCTTGGAAGTCGACCGTTCTGGAATACGCAGGTTGATTTTGCCTACACTATTGTTTGTAGATTCTTATTAACTTTTTTGATAAGCTTCAGAAACAAGTTTCACCTTCCGCAGCATAAAGGCTCTGAATGCCAAACTTTAGAGGAACCACAACATAATATGCAGTGCAGTACAAGTAAAGCACAAGCGAATTACAAGACGCTGACCGTAACTGGGTTGAAATCGTTGTCAGCTGTAATAACTGCGTACTTGTCGTACAGTGGCTGTAGCTGCCACAGTGTCCTTCACCGATGATTTGGGGTTGGGGTGGGATAGATAGCTGCGCATTGGAGGCGAGCCGACAAATCCGTGCGTAACTGCAGCACTGTAGGTGGACTGTTAAGTGGGGGGTTGGGAAAGGAGCTATGCATTGAAGGCAGTAGCTTGGATGCATGAGCGCCATTGAAGGCGCGACTGGGTCATGTCTGACGATGTCTGTAACCATCTTATATGGCCCGTCTCGAGGTCCTCATCCATGATAACGACAACAACCAACGCAGCTGAGTTTGCTGGTAATGGATTTTATACTTCACTGCCACACGGAAGCCGTTTCAACTAATCCGAAAAGCAGGACCTTAGAGTGAGTGAATTAAGGATGGCACCAAGAATCCAACATGTGACAGACCGGCGTCTAGATCACCGGGCGGAATATTTTACACAACAGCTTGGTTGTCTCTCCATCTCTTTGTCTTCATTTGCTCCGCTCATTTTGAGTTGTGACTTGTGAGTATAGAGTTTAATAAGTTGCCAAAGTATGATTAGGCCCTTTTATCTTGAAGTATTATCCATCTGTTGAGCTAGATGAGTTTCTCCTGACGTTGTTCAAGGATTGGAATCAAGAGTGGAATAATTGTTCCGCTTTGACTGGGTTTTTGTATGCACTTACTATCAGGAACTTGTGTTTGCTGGTTGGTACCTGTTTAAAACCCAATTATATTAGGTTTTAACTTAAGCCATGAGACCTGCTCCCGATACATTAGATGCAGTTCCGGTGACAGCAATCAGGACTTTGGCCTGGAGGAGGGTTTCACTGGCCATATCTTGAGATTAATTCAAATGTTTGAACAGCGTTGAGCGTGCCGCAGACCAACAACTGCGATTTCTATCTACCTTAGGTAGCTTTGGACTCTGTGTTTAAATAGAATATTTTTTTGTAAACGGGGAGGGAGCGCCCCAAAAGTCTACAGAAAATTTTCTTACCACGTTTCTGTATCTCTTCTGTCGGGTAAACAACAAATGATCTAGACGTTTCTTCACAACCAGTGGAGTTTTCCAGGGCTACACCGTCCATTCTTTCTTGTACAACTTTGTCGTCGACGGTTTTATGTAGTGCGTACTTCATGGAACCACGAGCTTAAGTGTCGAAATCATGTCTGGAATTTGGATTATGGGGGACGGTTATCTGTTCGCATCGTACTTGAAACACACCACAGGAAATGTCCTAATGTTTTCGCCTGCATCTTGCACCAACATCGTGTAAATTCCTACTTCAGTATTTCTCGTCTCCTGGTGCTTCTTTGAAACTGTAGAACAAACAACCTTAAATGTTTATCGATTTGCTTATTCTGAGAGAGGCATAAGTCTAGATTGTGCTGTAACAAGTGGGGACAGTGTTGGATAATCCAAGGCAGCATTTGCCGACTTGCGCCACCTATGGTACCGAAACAGACTTTTCTCCCCATCAGAATCATCAGTACCATCCTCAACATCATTGGCAGCATAATATCACTGTTGAACACTGAGTTTTTACTGCCGTACAATCGTGATTTATTTGAATGTCTTATTAAGAATAAACGTAGGTGGCGCTCCACAGTCGTTTCGAGTTTTCTACACGTCTAAACGCCTCTTCACGCAAGTTGTATAGAATTCGGAAACAATAACACCGGTAATGCAGATCGTCAGCCATAAAACGGACATTACCAGCTATTAGCACGGACAGCACGAGGACGTTCGCAGTATTCTTCATATCCCTGTGCCAGGTCTAGGGTTGGTCATCCCTCTTCTTCAGCCATTCACAATTTGGCATGAAAAGCAGCACTCGCTTCGGTAAACACCAGTTCGATGTGCGTTGCAAGAGTGGTCTTAATTTATGACCCTGAGGGTTGACCCGCCCTTAGACCTTAGATGTCTTCAGAAGTTTGATCAGTGATTTTTGTGTAGCAGAGCATTGAGTAATTAAGTAGATAGTGTATGGAAGTGTGCTTGGTAACGAATCTAAAGCTTTTAGGCAGCAGACTGAACTTACCAAGTTGATGTAATGAGTTTGCATTACATATGCCCAAAAAGGGTTCTTTCTGTTATAAGCAGCTGTTGGTGAAAGGTTCACCGGCCGCGACATGTCAACGTGGAATAAAAGCGGCTACTGCCAAAGTAAATGCTGTGGCTGAGATCCAGTTTCTCATTGTCGCAGTTGGTTGGAAACTCTGCAGGACACAGCGCGTAATCTCATTGGAGCAAACACTGCATTTTAGCGGCTAAAATGCGCAGCTAAAGTTGGCTGTCGTTAGACCTCATCATCATCATCATAGTCATCATCGACGACATAACATCATCATCATGCTGGGTCAGTCCCGATGATGGCGCTTTACTTTGACAGGACACATAAATACCTTTACTGCTGTCCAGAGTTGCAGTTACCCTATTCTTGTTCGTTTTCCCCAAGAATAGAGAACTGTTTCTCACTAAGACCCTACCAAATCCCTCTTCTTTTCATTCGTTGCTACGGCTTTCTTTCTCTATGTCTGTATGTCAACTGAGCGTTTATATGTACGGCCGGTATAACGCCATCAATGACGATAACCGCTGCACTCGTTTGGACATGTTTTTGTGTGTTGGGTTTTAAGGAATTTGAGGTGTCCAGTATTCGTCATCCTTTAGCCCGGTAAAGACAATTATTACGGGCCTAGAATTTAAATGGTATCAGTGCTGTTTTTGTCTTTGAGGGTGGTAACTTTGCGTCACAGTATCTTACGTAGTGTTGTTATGAAACTGTTGGCTCTCAGCCTAGTTAACTAATCACTATCAGGTCTACAGTAAGGACAGTGATTTCCAAGTTTGCCTCTCTCATCTAACTTTACCTTGATCACTTTTCACTCAAAACCTCGGCTCGAAGAAAGTGAGGAGTGGTGCATGCGAACACCATGTTCACAGAACCGCATCGGTAATACAAGACAAGTACAATCCTCTTTCCGGTTCTTTGTGCATAGCCTAAGAGAGCGTATTTATTGTGGGTGTCCTGTGGCAGCATGGAGCAATAGAGTTAGTTAATACAATAGACAATTTTACCCATGTCCGCTCTTTCTCATGCGTTCACCTCACTGGTATTCCATTCGACACGAGATGACTACGGAATTTGAGGACATCAATCTCCCCGTATCTCTCCATACCAGTACGTTCTTATGTTNAAAATTCAATTCCATCGTGCTAATACTGACAGTTGGTTACAGGCAACTAAGCATATCTAATTTCAACCCCACACCGCTCCTACGGAATTCTAACAACCGCGGTGCTCAGGTGTGCATGAGACCGGGAGATATTTGGCAGTGCAGTGAAGTAATTACGTCTGAGCTTAGCCCTCACGAAATCTTGAGAAAAGAGATCGGATGAATTCCCCAGGAAATTGCATATGTGGGAATACTGTTTGAATGCACCAAACAAACGTTGGTATGGATGAATGTGTAACGGCGCACGATAAACAATGTCTGGTGGGGACGGTTAAATTTACATAAGTTATATTTTACAGATGAGGAAGATGACGTGGATGTCACCCGATTCCCTTGTGCTGTTTGTCAAAGACAGTTTTCCGAAGCGGCACTAGTGAGTTTCTGAACTTATCCTACATGAATTTCGTCTTATTTCTAATCTAAACAATAGTACGTAATGATTTTAAGGGTTAAAACTGATGTATTTTAAAAGAGAAAGGTTTTCGTTGGTCTTCTCTTAAAAAACAGAGTTTCGATTTGCATTGATTGTTTAAACCAGGGCAACTGAACATCAAGGTTTATCGTACATCTTGAAACTTGGAAGCAACACAGGGGTTGACAGTGAAAACTAACCTTGTCTGAGAAACATCACCATTACGACGACCTTTCGAGTTTTAAGTTCTGTGACCTATAAGGAGCTCACCGGAAAAGAAGTATCACCTTATATTGGTTTTTGTGCAACCCAATTATTTTTAAGATGTAACGGTTTTGTTGTACAATATCCGGTGACTTACACGTTTTCTGTATGCACGCGCTATGAGTGTCGTCGGTGAACCAGTGACAAACAAAGTGCCGTCGAACGACTACGTATAACCGGGCAGTCACAAATGATGTACCAACGAGAGATTATTTACGAGATTGTGGTGCTAGAATCAGCCGTTGTTCAGATTGTTGCCCCGGAATTTCACTGATTTACGGACTGACACACAGGATCAGGACAGGATCAGAGCTTTTGCTCAAGTTTCCGTGGTAGGTTTTTTCGTGTAGTTCAGCGGTTGTCGTTCATCTGAAAGGCACAAGTGAAAAAGGGTGTAGCACGGCTTTTTTATGTCCTCAGCGTGGGGCAATATGCTTGCCAGCGTAAGGATTCGCATAAATAAGTGTCTAGTAGTGCTTTGAACTGGGTTCTAGAAGGAGCGTGGATAACCGTCAGAGGAAGGTCATTCCACGCAGCTACTAACCGAAGTGAGAAAAAATTTTGCCTAATGAATGTGTGCGCTCTGAGCTTGAAAATCTTCTCACCATGTCCCCACCGTGTGTTTGCTGGGTCAACGGTGAAAGACCTGTTGGCCAAGCTTTGTTCAAACGGGACATAATTAAGAATTAGGTCATCTCGGGGACGACGATACTCCAGGGGAAAGGGGTCAAGCATCGCGATACGCGTTTCGTAGTCCACGGACTTGAGGCCGGCAACCATTTTCGCTGCGGCTCGCTGGACACGCTCAACGCGGGTGACGTCTTTCGTTCGTTTTGAATAGACAACTTGGTTTGCGTATTCCAGGAGCGGTCTGACGTAGTCCCCACGGAGCACCTGGAAGTCTATGCAAGTAATGCGGGAGAAGGTGCGCCGGATCATCCGTAAAATGGCGAATGCCTTTTGTGCTGATTTCTCGTGGTGCAGTGAGAAGGACAAGTTTGAGGAGACCCAGAAACCCAAATCATTTTTGGTGTCTATCCTCATGATGTTTTCTGGTCCTTTCTCACAATGCATTCGCTGAGTCTCTTTCAAGTTACATATGGACGCACTTTTCGCCAGTCCATCGACCAAAGCTTTGCAGCGTCTACATCCATTCGGAGGGCACTGGTATTGGAAATCCTGGAAGGTCGTTAACGTAGATCGGAAACAACAGTGGTCCCAGAACGGAGCCTTGAGGAACTCCAGTGGAGATCCAGTGTAGGATTTTCCCTTAAATCCCGTAAGACTCGAGTTTGTGGAGTGGCGAGACGTGTGGGACCCTATCAAATGCTTTTGAGAAGTCGAAAAATACTGCATCCAATATGAGTCCTCCTTCCTCTGCTTGGGTTAAGCTGTCCATAACATTGACAGATGTACATCTCAGTCCCGCGACGGCTGGGTGATTTCTGAACTCATGTTTAATTTAATCCTTCGTTCTTGATGTCCACCACTGAAGAACAAGAAGCAGATTAGCTAGAGCCTTGAAGTCTTCTTCTTACTGGGAAAGCCATTATTCATCTGAAACGTTTTGGGATAACATATGACTGAGCAAACTTCAGTAACAGAAATCGGTGATTTTTTGAGTCATAAACCTTCCTGAAGTCTAATTAATAGTCACCAGGCCTGTCTCCGCTTCCTTTTTCAACTAGAAGGCACGTTGACTGAGATAAACACTGCGTTTACGAATGAGCTTATGTAGATTTGCCAAAATGAGCTTGTTTTTCGTCATATGTGTCACCGGCCTGTCTCTTAAAATCGGTTTCAGTAGGTTCAGTAAAAAGGGATGTGAGGCTTGCTACACTTTAGTTGAATAAAACGCTTCTACAACGTCTCTTTTTAATGGATTCAGCAATTTATTTTTAAATTAGTCGGTAGATCCGCTTTTTCTCTTCAGTGCTAGGTTGAATCGGCATGATAGTATATATATATATATATATTCATCTGAACCAGCTAACTCACAACAATATAAAATTTCTAGCCCCTTTGGAGATTTCCTCTTCTGTGATTACAGTGCTTAGTATTTCTTGACATTGAACGTTCTGGAGGACGTGCCGAATTTTGGGTGCGTAATTTGACATAAATATGGGGAGGCTGATCCACAAGTAAAGCTCTTTCTGTCCCCCGATTTTGATCTTGGTTTGATCAACTCGGGCAAGGAATGGATCTGGTATATGGATCCGGATACCTGACTAGAAAGTCGACTTTCTAGTCAGCGATGCTTTAGCACCGCCGAGTCTTTGTACATGTCCAGTTTCTAAAAAAAGCTGGATACCAGCTAAATTTTTTCTGATACCTATGAGTCCGGGTCGCTTCTATTGGTCTGGAAATGGGATTATCCGCTTCCAGACGACTTCTAGCCTCCACTGGACAAAAAATCACACAATGCAACGAAAAATCAACGCATACTTATTTTCTAACCTAGACTAGGATCACTTCAGCAGACAGAGACTGAGGTTCATGACATGTACCTGTAACGATCTCAAGGAGAGAGTCATCTGTTTTAATACAGTGGGAAAAGACTTCAAGAATCCACAAACCCCGAGACTTTCTGTTCCATTTTGGACCAGGCAGAATGCCCAAACTAAGGATACTTTCATCAGATTCGTCAGGAATTATGATGCTTTGGCTTATTCTCTGTACGTAGGGTGCAGACTCAGGTAGAATAACTGGACCTATTGGCTGCAAGGATGCTAATGCAACTAGAAAGTCTCATCAAGGTCAGTGGATGAGTAGAGCTGGACTTGTTTGCTTTTGAATGCCTCCGCACTCCGCTACTAGAGGGCTCTACTTTTGCTTACATCAGTAATCATGAAAGTATCACTAGTGGATACCCATTCTGTATCCACAGTTTCTTCCCCACCAGGTTATTCAGTGGGCTAGGGGCCGAAAAACACAGGTTCTTGGATATACAGCCTTGGGATTGAATGGAGTGTGCAAATATGCTCCTTACAATTTGAACTTCTTGAGTTGTCTTATGCTGATCATTGCTACCTTGAAGTTACTAATACAAGAAGTAGACCGTCCGCCACTTGGTTAATTTACCCGGATCGCCTTGTTTTTTGCAAAAGGAAAAGTGGTTAGGCGGGCAAATTCGATTGGTTGCACATTTCTTATTCCTTTATTATTGTTTTTAAGTTTTTCTCCTGTTTCGACTGCCAATCACTCTTGGGTAGATCTCAGATATGGGCATGTCAGTCATGAAACTGGAGAACTGACAGATTGCATGCCACTATCCATATTCACCGCCATTTTCCGCCATTCAGACCTTGTTTTCCTCTTTTTTGTGATTTTTACGTGGGAACTCTTATGAAGCTCAACTGACCAGCCAGTTCAGAATTCTTGATAAGCTACTCACCAAAGCCTAATACATCCCTGAAACAATAAAGAATCCAAGCACATCTGCTAAGCTCACGGCACTACCACTAATTAGATGCTACAGAACAAAAGCTTAGGAGAATTCTGTGACGGATACAGCGGGTTGCACCGATGTCGGTATGTACTTCACTTTTGAACTGAGGATTCACTGTCATACCGGATGCTCGTAAACAGCCAGCTCTGTGCTTCCCGAGATTCTGATTCGATAGAAGCTCGCACCAGTCAAAATGAGTGCTTTGTTATCATATCCATTTGTTCATCAGTAAACTATGTCCCTTTGAAAGTAATCTTCCATCAAGAATCAACCGCAGTCTATCACAAAGAGTTTGTGTATGGTCGTTATTGCGCAAGAGTGTATGGCGCAGGTATCGCGTCTCAGTTTGTCAAGTGCGTGCCATGGTGATACTTTAGTGTGAATGCAAAACCAAATTATAGTGGTTTACTGATCATTAATTGTTTATTACCAGTACTTGGTTTTGACTCATCGGAGAGTTTTGTGCTCCCTGGAAACCCCATACCACTGGGCATTTTTTTGGGGCAAAATGGCCACATCGTGGCAGTTGCGACGGTCCTTCGAAGTCGACCGTTCTGGAATACGCAGGTTGATTTTGCTTACACTATTGTTTGTAGATTCTTATTAACTTTTTTGATAAGCTTCAGAAACAAGTTTCACCTTCCGCAGCATAAAGGCTCTGAATGCCAAACTTTAGAGGAACCACAACATAATATGCAGTGCAGTACAAGTAAAGCACAAGTGAATTACAAGACACTGACCGTAACTGGGTTGAAATCGTTGTCAGCTGTAATAACTGCGTACTTGTCGTACAGTGGTTGTAGCTGCCACAGTGTCCTTCACCGATGATTTGGGGTTGGGGTGGGATAGATAGCTGCGCATTGGAGGCGAGCCGACAAATCCGTGCGTAACTGCAGCACTGTAGGTGGACTGTTAAGTGGGGGGTTGGGAAAGGAGCTATGCATTGAAGGCAGTAGCTTGGATGCATGAGCGCCATTGAAGGCGCGACTGGGTCATGTCTGACGATGTCTGTAACCATCTTATATGGCCCGTCTCGAGGTCCCCATCTATGATAACGTCAACAACCAACTAACCATCTTATATGGCCCGTCTCGAGGTCCTCATCCATGATAACGACAACAACCAACGCAGCTGAGTTTGCTGGTAATGGATTTTATACTTCACTACCACACGGAAGCCGTTTCAACTAATCCAGAAAGCAGGACCTTAGAGTGAGTGAATTAAGAATGGCACCAAGAATCCAACATGTGACAGACCGGCGTCTAGATCATCGGGCGGAATATTTTACACAACAGCTTGGTTGTCTCTCCATCTCTTTGTCTTCATTTGCTCCGCTCATTTTGAGTTGTGACTTGTAAGTATAGAGTTTTATAAGTTGCCAAAGTATGATTAGGCTTTTTTGTCTTGAAGTATTATCCATCTGTTGAGCTAGATGATTTTCTCCTGACGTTGTTCAAGGATTGGAATCAAGAGTGGAATAATTGTTCCGCTTTGACTGGGTTTTTGTATGCACTTACTATCAGGAACTTGTGTTTGCTGGTTGGTACCTGTTTAAAACCCAATTATATTAGGTTTTAACTTAAGCCATGAGACCTGCTCCCGATACATTAGATGCAGTTCCGGTGACAGCAATCAGGACTTTGGCCTGGAGGAGGGTTTCACTGGCCATATCTTGAGATTAATTCAAATGTTTGAACAGCGTTGAGCGTGCCGCAGACCAACAACTGCGATTTCTATCTACCTTAGGTAGCTTTGGACTCTGTGTTTAAATAGAATATTTTTTTGTAAACGGGGAGGGAGCGCCCCAAAAGTCTACAGAAAATTTTCTTACCACGTTTCTGTATCTCTTCTGTCGGGTAAACAACAAATGATCTAGACGTTTCTTCACAACCAGTGGAGTTTGCCAGGGTTACACCGTCCATTCCTTCTTGTACAACTTTGTCGTCGACGGTTTTATGTAGTGCGTACTTCATGGAACCACGGGCCTAAGTGTCGAAATCATGTCTGGAATTTGGATTATGGGGGACGGCTATCTGTTCGCATCGTACTTGAAACACACCACAGGAAATGTCCTAATGTTTTCGCCTGCATCTTGCACCAACATCGTGTAAATTCCTACTTCAGTATTTCTCGTCTCCTGGTGCTTCTTTGAAACTGTAGAACAAACAACCTTAAATGTTTATCGATTTGCTTATTCTGAGAGAGGCATAAGTCTAGATTGTGCTGTAACAAGTGGGGACAGTGTTGGATAATCCAAGGCAGCATTTGCCGACTTGCGCCACCTATGGTACCGAAACAGACTTTTCTCCCCATCAGAATCATCAGTACCATCCTCAACATCATTGGCAGCATAATATCACTGTTGAACACTGAGTTTTTACTGCCCTACAATCGTGATTTATGTGAATGTCTTATTAAGAATAAACGTAGGTGGCGCTCCACAGTCGTTTCGAGTTTTCTACACGTCTAAACGCCTCTTCAGGCAAGTTGTATAGAATTCGGAAACAATAACACCGGTAATGCAGATCGTCAGCCATAAAACGGACATTACCAGCTATTAGCACGGACAGCACGAGGACGTTCGCAGTATTCTTCATATCCCTGTGCCAGGTCTAGGGTTGGTCATCCCTCTTCTTCAGCCATTCACAATTTGGCATGAAAAGCAGCACTCGCTTCGGTAAACACCAGTTCGATGTGCGTTGCAAGAGTGGTCTTAATTTATGACCCTGAGGGTTGACCCGCCCTTAGACCTTAGATGTCTTCAGAAGTTTGATCAGTGATTTTTGTGTAGCAGAGCACTGAGTAATTAAGTAGATAGTGTATGGGAGTGTGCTTGGTAACGAATCTAAAGCTTTTAGGCGGCAGACTGAACTTACCAAGTTGATGTAATGAGTTTGCATTACATATGCCCAAAAAGGGTTCTTTCTGTTATAAGCAGTTGTTGGTGAAAGGTTCACCGGCCGCGACATGTCAACGTGGAATAAAAGCGGCTACAGCCGAATTAAATGCTATGGCTGAGGTCCAGTCTCTCATTGTCGCAGTTGGTTGGAAACGCTGCATGACACAGCGCGTAATCTCATTGGAGCATACACTGCATTTTAGCGACTAAAATGCGCAGCTAAAGTTGGCTGTCGTTATACCTCATCATAATCATAATCATCTCCCCGTATCTCTCCATACCAGTACGTTCTTATGTTGTACCAAGTGTGTTTGTCAATACTGGTCTTGAGCCCAAAAAGTTGTAAACACATTGTCCGTCAATCTTTATTCTGAATTAACAACGTATCGAAACCCGTAGATTTCAACACCTTCGGGATTATGGACAGCAGAGTTAACAGTCAGGGAACCGACTTTGCGAATAAGGCTCATTTCACCACACCCCATTCCAAGGATATCGCTTCAATGGAATGGAGAAAAGGATAAACGGTTCCCCAAGTGGTTCTGCATGACCAGTTGTACAATCCTCCTGCATCCTACATCTTTTGACGAGCTAGTGAATATTGGGTGAACTATTGTGCTCAGCAGGTGGTTTCTGGTGAACTCTGTTGTGTCAAATCGGGAGACATGGTAGACAGTGAGATGAAAGGGCCGGATCATAATCACAGGCAGAATCAAGAGGTGTGCTTAACCTTTAGGATGTTTGCATCTTCTTGGTTATTGATGCAAGGCTATCAGTGCTATTCGTGGATATGGTTTTCTGATTTCTTTTTTGAGAATTTTAGTTCACAAACCGGATTATCTATCTGTCTTTTGTGTCCTGCGTGACACCGATAGCAGACTTCGTCTTCTTGGGCTGAGATGGCACAGTGGTTATCCGAAGGACTGGTTTTTTAAATGTCCTCCAAGTCCGGGGGACCCCAGTTGTACAGGATTCCATTGGGAGTTATTTCTCACAATGCACGATCATGTGCGAAACGGACACAAAGCTCGATGTAGGTGTAGCGTGATCCACTTTCACTCCAGATCTGGAGGTCCTTTTATGTAAGAACATGTTTATTTTAAACTAAACGAATGTAGCACACTGATTAAAGGGCTAAATCACGACCGACCGAGATTTATTTCATACAACAAACTCAAAGTCAGCGCACCAAAATTTTGAAGCTGAGCAACAAGCTTGTGATTTGGAGCTGTTTTTTAACGAACAGCGACGTCCTCCAACTTGCCGTCAAACCTGGTCTCAACTCGACAATAGGTCCTGAACTTCATTTGACCCCAGAAGACACGGAAATTAGAAAAGTGGCCTAATGCATGCACGCGGGAACATGGATATCTTACATTTATTTTACAGATAGTCATTCACATCAAAAGGCTTTGATATGACGATCAGACAAAATGGATCCGTTCTGAAGAGTGATTGGTGTTCACCTAATCATAGCGTGCCGGCCAGCCGCCACCTTGAGCCAATAAACTCATTTGTTGGGATGATTAGCGGGGTATTGTTAGTATTGGTCCACCATTCAGCAACTGGGTGCCAATTTGAGAGGTATTTTCTTCTCTCCGGGCTGTGTTCAGTATCCATTGGCTAGTCCCGTGGGGTATGAGCTCCAGACAGCCCAGTGGCTAAGGCGCAGACTCAGTAACCGGAAGGTCCGTGGTTCTTACCTAATCCAGGCATCTTGGCCATTCCTGTGTAGTCCCGTGCAGCCCGGTAGTTTTCCAGTCCCCGTGCTTCCTTCAGGTGAAATAGAAGCCATGAACTGAGTTGGTGTTACAGTTGAACAATTATTCGTTATTTGACAACGAAGCCCACCTGTTTTTTATGAAAAATTAACCAAAAAGCCAAAGAGAAATTAGAAAAATGTTACCTAATACTGGGTGTCTCGCGCTGAAGATTTCGAAGCTATATAGTTTTTCCGTTGGCACTGCCCTAATAAAAAAAACCTAAAGGGTCTGTTTTCCAATCGGGAAACCACCAGTGAAGCGTGCTTCTTTTTGGACAAAGAGTATACACTTGAATTTGCTTAAAATAAATAAACCATCCGGATTTTTTATGAACAGGTGTTCAACCTGATTCGACCTATTCAGTACCATCTGGTTTACCTTGTGAGTATCTAAAAACCAAGTGGATCTCTTTTTCTTACTTAACACTGTCGTTCGCTCCATCATGATGGGATTGTATTGAGATTGTTCTTCTATCCTGGTGAGAATTCAGGGTGGCGAAAGATTTGAGGTACCGAGGAACGCCTTGTTTACATCCGAGCAGGAAAGTGAATCACCTTTATCTGTGACTGGTGTCGTTATCGATGAAGGGCTGGTGAGAATTCAGGGTGGCGAAAGATTTGTGGTACCGAGGTACCTCCGAGTAGGAAAGTAAAGCGCCTATATCTGTGACTGGTGTCGTTCTCGATGAAGGGTGATGATTTATTCCATCATCCTGCAAGTGCTTTGAGTAATGTTCGGGGGTGCACGTGAAAAAATCTTGATTGAGGGCAACAGCTTTCTTCCCAGTTACTTTCCTCAACCTACCTTCATATCTTTATAATCCAATAGGCAAAACACCAACCGATTTGTATGAAAAATGCACGCAAAAGACGCAAGGTTTTCGATAGCAGCAAACAACGCTCGCGTGAGCTTCAAATTCCCCCGACCAAGCCGATTTCCACGACTACGGCACAAGAGAGGGAGTACAAATTGGCTCAAGTGCTGGAGAGGAAAAATCAGTGGCGTAAAAAGCACGAGGAATTCATTTCTTCAATTCGGGCCGCAAAGGAATACACCATGGCTAAGAAAACTGGTGCTCCTTTACCCCCTCCACCGCCACCATCTGTGGATCCTTGTAAGTGATTTGGTTAGCCTGTGTTACATGACTAGGCTTCTTGGAGGGTATCTGTGTTCCTATCTCGACTAGGCTTATTTAAACTCTCATAGACTAGTTGCGCATGTCTACCACGATTCGACGTGAGTGATTGCCTGTCAGTTTTGACCGACTTTTGGCTGCCTGTTCCAGCCGGCCGAGGGTTATTCCTAATTTATCCTACATGTGAGGGCCTTCGATGAGACATGTGTTCTTACAGAAAAGACCGTTTTAGCTGGTCGTTCCACAGTGTGAGATGTCTACATTGGAATGCAGAAGTTTTCGTCGGATCATCCCAAAATATCTCGTTGCTCCTAGCCTGACGAAGTTTGTTTACCGTTAGTCCTATTCAATTTTAACTCAGTTTTATCGAAAACCTAAATTCTATTGTCTCATATCGGATCCGGATGAATTTCACCTTTCTCCTTCTCAGTTTCATTCTGCCCCCTAAGCTTCCATCTTCCAAAAATTCTATCCACAGAGAACATGGACCGTACCTTCGAGGAATGGAAATTGTTTTCATTTTGAGGAATCAAAGTGTATCCCTAAAGAGACACGTCACCTTGACGAAATGAGATAACTAATTACCGGTAATCAACACCATGATCTCGAGGTATTTCAGTGGCTAAGGCGTGAACTCGCTGACCGGAAGTTCAGTGGCCTTTTGGCTTCTCTTGGGCAACCTGACAGTATCTCCGTCTCGGTGTTTCCTTCGGGTGGCATGGCAACTAGGCACTGACAGGGTGCTACAGCTAAACGACTATGATTTTATCACCAGTGCTATGCTCGCTTTATGCCTACTTTCGACCAGAACGGTGATTATTCTGCTTTCCTTTTAATCAATCTTCAAAATTTTGGCAACGTTGGACGCTAATGCGATTGGAACTTCTGAAAAAAACCGGCTGAAAACTTAAAATTGAGTTCTGCATAGCTGTGGTTGGAATGAACAACATTAGGTAGTTTCTGTCTATTTCATAAATTACGTGGGATTCATTGGTTTTATGTAAGTTGGCCTCTTGAAGGGGCTTTTCAGAGTCACAAAAGCTGTGTTCGCCATTCTACAGATTTTACTCATATAGTATGCATTCAGCTAGGTTCAACACGCTTTAAGCCTGATAATCCTCCTTCAAGTACCATGAAGTGAGACGACCTCTTTCCAAGGGAACTAAACCATGGCCAAAGGGGAACTCTGTTATGGACTTTGGACAAACCTATCCTCCATTCGGAAAGGTCTAGCTAAGGTCTAGTCTAAATGACCTTACCATAACCACATCACTTTTTCTTGAAGAATTCTCGATGGTACTCTAGGCAGCTGCTTCGATTGGAGGCGGGAGCTACCTACTCCAACTCCCCAGATCATCGGTGAACGAAACTGTGGCAGCTACAACCCCCGACAATTACGCGGTTCTTACAGCTGACAATGATGATAATAATGATGAGCTGTCTTGATTTAACTTCGCTCGAAGATAATGGCTCTTAAACGATGGAATTTCGCACAATCAAACCGCCGAGGACCGGGACAACATAAGGGCAGGAGTTCTTGGAATGCCTTGTTTGGATCAATCATTTCTGATGTCACCTACAGTAATTGTAACAACCTGCAACGACTTCCGTTCACCACGATCGTATGGTTGTGTACGGCACTCATAAGCCTTGCGTCATTGATCGGTCTACAGTACGACCACCTCCCATTATAACTGAATCCGCTCATCATTACCGAAATCTTGTCATTATGACGGGTGCCATTTCTCATCTTTATTCAACAGGAGGCAAACATCCGGCAAGAAGGTGTAGTAGTCAACTTCGAAAGTATTTTCAAATAAGGCTATTTCCATTTCTATAATGGTTGCCTCATCTGAGAAATATTACCGTATCTGACCTCATTTCGGAGAGGACTTGCTCACTAGAAAGTGGCTGGTGCAGACTGATTCTACCGACTATCCAGAGAGTAGACTCCCTTCCTCAGATCCAAGAAGTATGCTCAGAGTTCGTCATAAACCTTGAAACGTTAAAGTATCTAACTGATGCACCCTAAACATCTCAGAGAAGCTTTAAAAAACTACTTCACGGTAATAAACACTCTTTGTTGTAGAACCGCTGAGTAAAGATAAGCCGGCGTGACTCAAGACCAGAAATATCTTATGAGCAACTTTTCTCCAAAAAAGTAAAACAGGAGGTACCGCCTACGCGCGACTTTTTGGCCGACATTCACGTCAACATGCCATCTGCATGCATGTCAAGGTACATTGTTCATAATGCACTATGCATAACGTTGCTTAAAATTCGTCTACAGCCCACGACCGGTTTCGCCCTTGGGGCTCATCAGGTAGGCGCATTCCCCGAGTTTCCGTCAAACTTATGTTTTAATTGAACCCAAGTTGCACGAAATTAGCGAAACAGACTCATTTGCAAACTAATTTGGTTTTGTGAGAGACTCACCTGGAACCCAGCTGAATCTCTTGTTTGTGATGTTTCCAGGCATCACGAACATTTATGTATCGCGATATTTCGAATATCGTAGCGACTGAAACATGGGGCGGCCTGGTGCAGCACACTCAGTTGCCTGTAAACATCACAAGCGAGATGTATGCATATCAAGGTATACTGTTCATATTTGGGATATTCATTTTTAGGTAGCGGGTCATGGTAAACGGTGAGTGGGATCTTTCCGGTCCATCATATTTCCAAATTGCAACCCAATCCGTCGCTTGTCACGCTGCTCACCACGTAGTCTTCCGTAACTAAACCAATTTGATCTTGTCACCAAAACAAGGAACCGTTTCAACTACATTCATCGGAAGCATCCACTTTATGGAGGGCACGCTGGAAGAGTAAAACGAAATAGTGTGATATCCTTTGGGTCGTGTGGTAGCTGGGCACCGAACTGTCGTGATAGTTAAACCATTTGATTTTTTCAATAGAAACAGGTGTTTGCAACTCGGTGTATGGCACTAAACATGCAACACAGGTGAAAGGAAGAAGGCCTTGGCTGCGGAGTTATTTGTTAGAAAATGCCAACTGATCAGTTACAGACCATTGGACAGGGTAGCAAAACTCTCATTTGCATCTTATGTACAAAAACTGGACATCCATCTTCTTATGAACGCGTCTTCTTGAAGTTTCCTGGATATTAATTGACCCAAATCATCCATTGCTCAAATTCAAGCAAATGCTACAAAGCGACTCCACAAATTCCGCAACAGATATCCCTTTTCAAGAGACGCAACGCGAATTTACAAGAACAAAACATACTACTCGCGTGTCTCCCCATCAGTAGTATCACCGTTACACTGGTAGGTAGCTATCGGTTTGTTCATCTGGGAGGACGACAGACTCGTATTCAGGATGGTAATGCAGGTCTGCAGGCAGATGATAGCCTCTCATCAATCAGCTCTTTTGCCAAGGGGACACCCAACATTGTCAAAAATGTATCGACATATTTTTGGTTTACGTGGCTTTGTTAGTCAGGTGGTAGTTAACCCGTCCACCAAGCTCGGTAATCAGCGTGCAAGTCACTTTACCCAAACTATCACTTGCCGGACATAACCAACACAAGGCAGGTGTTCGCTCTTTGCACCTGCCTTTGTATAATTAGCTGTAATCGGGTTTGCTCTCCCCGACTAATATAAGCTCTTCACCTGCTTTGTTCTTGTATTAGGAAAACCTAACTTCCAACCTAGGTGAAATTCAGGACATTCCGTGATCTCCGACTGGCTCTTTACATGTCCGTACGCCCTTGTGCATTCTCAACCGAAAGTGTATTGCCACCACAGGCATGAAGACACTACGGATTTCGTGCCAACCCAGTCTCGGTAATAAAGGTTTCAGTGTGCCAGTCTTCACCCGTACGTACTTTGTGAGACTGTAAAATGCGATCACCATCTTCTGTTGAACTGATCAACAAATCCGTTTCGTCTCGACTAACAGCACCCTTGTACGTGTATTTCGTTCTTCTAGCCCTGGTCCAATGTAAATGGTGCTCTCGAAGATTCAATGAGAAAGCAGCAGAACGTCACATAAAATTCTGCGAAGAAAAACACAAAAATATTCAGCAACAAGTGCAGAAACGTGGGCGCGGTATTCCACGACCAACTGTGAGTTTGCACGGTTCACACTCTGCGTTTATAGCTACTTTTTTACCAACTGCAAAAATTCAATAGTACCTTAGCGAATATACACTCATTTGCAAACTAATTTGTTTTTTTTTCGAGAGACTCACCTGGAACCCAGCTGATCTCTCTTTTGTGATGTTCTCAGGCAACTGAATGTGCTGCACCAGGCCGCCTCATGCTTCTGTCGGTACGATATTTGAGATATTGCGATACACGTACGCTCGTAATACACTACTCATAAGGCTGCTGAAAATTCGTTGACAACCCACCACCGGTTTCGCCCTTCTTGGGGCTCATCAGGTAGGCGCAGTCCCCAAGTTTCCGTCAACCTTATTTCTACTTGAAACCTTATGAGTAGTACATTGCAAAGATATCAGTGGTAGCTTCCCTGTGGTGTCACAACAGTTTCAACTGAGAATGGATCAGAGGATCGCCTCAAACAGAACCTTTGATTTAGACGTTCCGAACTACTCACGAGGTTACTGAAGACTCCTGGACAGCCCACAACCGGCTCGCCCTTCTTGGGGCTCATCGGGTGAGCGCAGTGCCCGGTTTTCTGTCAACCTCATGATCTACTTGAAACCAGATCGTACGAAATTCGATTCATTTGCAGACCGATTTGGTTTTCACGGGTGACTCACCTGAAACCTGGTTGAGTCTCACAGCACATCACAAGTAAGAGACGAGTGTTTTATTCGGAAACGCCTTCTTATTTCATACTACAATAATAGATTTTTCTTTGGTTTTCATGATCATTCAGACTGACGCTTATGCAAACATGCGTACACAGAATACGCGAATGACTATGTGCTTCATTCACTGTTTACGCAGCACAACCTAATAAAAAAATGTCAGCTTGCAAACAACACCCGCCTTTTCTTTCCATATTAATTTGGATTCTGTTCCGCACAATCAAACACCGAACTTTCTGACTCCCGGAGGCAGTGGTAGCCGATCCCCTTTGTCGATGACTTAGTTTTTTTCTGGCCGTTAATCAATCATTCTTCGGTATGACAAGACACCGTCTGATTTTGACTGGGGATACATACGAATCGCACCCAAAATCAGTCCAGCCTACAACGGCTTGGTAGTCGAAAGTCCCCTCTGGTTCATTGCGTGCTCTATTACAGTTTGCATGGGGCTCATCGGGTGAGCGCAGTGCCCGGTTTTCTGTCAACCTCATGATCTACTTTAAACCAGATCGTACGAAATTCGATTCATTTGCAGATCGATTTGGTTTTCACGGGTTACTCACCTGAAACCTGGTTGAGTCTCACAGCACGTCACAAGTAAGAGACGAGTGTTTTATTCGGAAGCGCCTTCTTATTTCATACTACAATAATAGATTTTTCTTTGGTTTTCATGATCATTCAGACTGACGCTTATGCAAACATGCGTACACAGAATACGCGAATGACTATGTGCTTCATTCACTGTTTACGCAGCACAACCTAATAAAAAAATGTCAGCTTGCAAACAACACCCGCCTTTTCTTTCCATATTAATTTGGATTCTGTTCCGCACAATCAAACACCGAACTTTCTGACTCCCGGAGGCAGTGGTAGCCGATCCCCTTTGTCGATGACTTAGTTTTTTTCTGGCCGTTAATCAATCATTCTTCGGTATGACAAGACACCGTCTGATTTTGACTGGGGATACATACGAATCGCACCCAAAATCAGTCCAGCCTACAACGGCTTGGTAGTCGAAAGTCCCCTCTGGTTCATTGCGTGCTCTATTCTCTACAGTTTGCAAACACGTATCAGTATAAACACTTGAACTGTAATGAGGGGGTGTGGTTAGCTCACCACACTCGGTTGGATTAGCTTCAAATGTTCACTAGCTTATTTTATCTCTCACGAACTTTCGAGGCTGAGCGACAACGTTTGGCAGTTTATATTCCGTGCAATTTGTTCTGGTTCATGCAGCATGACTTCTTCTATTAAACAGTGAGCAGAGGACCATCGGACTCGCTGAACTTGTCCGCGGGCAAGTTTGTCATCGACCGCTCTCAACCAATCTCCTGGAGCTATTATAATCCTCATTTTTCTTCGTGACTTCAGTGCTCGTCAGTTAGAGTAACCTGGGAGGTACAAGAAGCTTGTATGCACTGTTACTTGACCATAAAATCAGTAATAAACCTGACAAACTCCGGTTTTACGACTGGCACCTATGGACACTCGTCAGTGAAGGCATTCGAGAAGCCGACTCATTCTGAAGCAAGAGATGTATGGAACAAGCAAAGCAAGCAATGCGGTTGTCCGTATGCCAGTCAAAAGCAGGAATACGAAAGTATAACTTCACTCCAATAGCAAGCCACTCAGCCTAACCGAGTAAATGAAATTTCGGCCTGCTACTTCGGTTAACTACGTTCGATGCCCACTCGTTTTTCGCTTCGTTTTGTGGACACTCAGTGATCCGCCGGACGATACGCCTGATTTCTTAAGTGTAGTCGAGCGGTGATCGAATTGGATACTGGATGTTGGTTTATTTCCATTAATGCTTTGGCGACACCTGCAGTGACAGTAGCCTATTCGAAACCGATTATCTTGGGTCAATCGGAAATGTTAAGTTGCCAATATGCATGAGCTCTGATACAGTAGATATCGAAACCGATTATCTTGGGTCAATCGGAAGTTTTAAGGTACTAATATACATGAGCTCTGATACAGTAGATATTGTGTAACGGTGATACTACTGATGGGGAGGCACGCGAGTGGTATGTGTTGTTCGTGGAATTTCGCTTTGCGTCCCTTTAAAAGGGGAGATCTGTTGCGGAATTTGTGGAGTCGCTTTGCTTGGATTTGAGCGATGAATGATTGGATTCAATGAATACCCAGGAAAGTTCAAGAAGATGCGTTCAGGATGTCCAGTTTTGTAAATAAGATTCAAATGAGAGGCTTGCTTCCCTGTCCAATGATCTGTAACCGGTCAGTTGGCGTTTTCTAATAAATAAATCCGCAACGAAGCCTTCTTCCTTCCAATAGTAGCAAGGTTTGTGGTTATTCCAAGGACTAGTGAACGCAAAGCGAGACACACATATCAGTAAGTTTCTTAAACATTTCATTCTTAGGATGGGGTATTATGGCTTACATGCATCAAGGTAATTCGAATTAGAAAGATTTGGACGAGCTGTTTTTGGGCCCACCTTTTGTCCATTACAAGAATTGTCAGTGACAGAATACCTGTAGAAAGCTAGGGGGATTGGATACTTTCATGTCAGTAGGACCAAAAGCTCAGAGTGGATCCAAACTGTGGAATCTCGCTTGTGTTGTATCTTGAAGGTGTTCAGTCCACAGATCACTCAAAGCCATAATCACTTTGGGTGAACGAAGTGGGTGAGGTGAAGCTCATAAATTTTCTAGCGCAATTTCGGTCTCAAAAAAGTTAAACATCTGTGGATCTGGGTGTCTAGTTGTAGATCTGGCTGACGCAAAAAGGGTGACAGTAGTCAGGTACACTTATTTGCGAATTAGGCTGATGCTAACTGGAGATTCAACTAAATGTGCTACAAAACAAAGACCATATAGGGTTTCAGCTAGCAGAATGTTCCACCCGTTAAAATATATTAAATGGAATATATTTCAACACGCTAGAAAAGTCAATGAATGAGCAATAAAAACCGATCTGAGCTATCCGCAGTCTGAAAAAGTGTGGGTGAATTAACGAACAACTAACGTCACAGAGCCTTTCAACTATGACAGCCTTTCGTTGCCTGGAAGTCAAGCTACCCAAAAAAGTGCGATGACTCGGATGCTATCTGGACAAAAGTGATCAACAGCGAAGTACACTCATTTGTACACCGATTCGGTTTTGAGGGGAGGCTCATCTAGAACTCACCTGAATCTCTGATTTAATTATTCAACCGCATTTGCTGCACCAGGCAGCCCCATTTTTCAGTTTGCGAGATGTCGCGGTACATTGCATGGACGTAATACACTACTCATGTCCATGTAGAACGTAAGGTTGGCGGAAATTCGGGGACTACGCCTACCTAATGAGCCCCAAGAAGGGCAAAACCAGTTCTGGGGCTGTCGGAGAGTTTTCAGTAGCATTTAACAGACTCATTATGGCAAGTCACTGGAACATCTTTGATATTCTTGAGATCACGTCCGAGACACCTAAGACTCGCCACAGTATGATTCATCCTCAATGATAGAAACACTGGTGCTTCACCGCCTTGCGGCATACTCATTTGGCTTGTAACGCGGATGAAGTCAAAAGCTTTCGGGTAAGAGTTCCGAAGCGAACTTAACTATTCCGCAGATGCACTCATTCACATGCAAAGTTGTTTTTCGAAGGAGACTTACTTGAAAGCAAGCTGAATCTTTCGTTTGTGATTCCTCAAACGAGATATTCCGCGAAGATTCGGGTGATTCCATCGTGAAAACTAAGTTGGCATGCAGTTTGGTCGAATTTCGTGCAATTTAGACTCAGGCGAAATAGGCTGTGGACTGCGTCCACCTGACGAGCCCCAAAAACAGTAAAACCGGTAGTGCGCTGTTGAAGAGTTTTCAACGACCTTGTGAGCAGTGTATTACGTCTACATCACGACTATCCAAGTGTGGGGGGAGGCTCACTATAGCTATAATCCTTCTTCGTACTTGTGGTCAGATCGCTCCCACGCACCTTGGAGACGGTCGCGGAGATACTCCTGGGCAGTACCGAAAACCGTCCACCAATTCTCGCCCAACACCTTCACCTGTCAATGGTGGAGCTGACTCCAGGGCTGAAATGTCCACAAATGTTCACAACGGGCGAGGATCGATATCGACAGGCGGGCGGAGAGGGTCATCCTCGCAAAACAAGTATGCACGTAAGTATTTTCTAAAACTGAGTTCTCCGGTTTCGTGTGATTTGTGAAATTTCCAATAGGAAACAACCACAAGGTTAAAAGCTGCCCTAAATGATCCCAATTTTCACTTGTGATATGGACATTGAAATATACTTTTGCCTTGCTGCACTGGTGTTTACGGCATGGACATTGAAATATACTTTTGCTTTGGTCCCCTGGTTGTTTACGGCAGGTATTGAAGTTTTGGGTACCTCGTGTGTTTGTGATAGGCTGTCTTTCCCCAGATCCCGTTTCGTACTACTGCAGTCCTCGTCACTCCGAACCTGTTAGGACGGTGTCGCTGCCTCCTGACGCAGTCGTTCAGGAAGGTTGAATGAACATACGCAAATGCGATCTACGCAGTAGCCTTCACTACATGAAATAGAAACCTTCTAAATTACTTCGGGGCACGAACCCAACGGTAGCGATCGGTGTGTGCAACACATAGTATTGTAACTAGCACAACGTTTCCATTCGTCCACTCTCTTACTGCCCAAACAGCCGAATGATTCCTCCTGGACACAACTTTTACTGCTGTTCCGTCAGGTTCATTTACCTTCAAAGCGTCCTTGTAGACCAATATGGCGTCTGTTTTTCGCATGGGCCATCCTGGTGTATATCCTATCCTGATTGGTTATTCTTTAGGCTGGAGTGGTACGAATAGTGTGATCTTCGAGAGATATCTTAACCAGGTTTGCCAATCTGAATCACATTTAACTCCACCACGGTTGCCCGCCTGTTGGAGAGGCTGTCGAAGCTTGGTCAATCAAATGGTATAGGTTTTTGCGCGTATGCCTACTAACCTGCTTTACGTCTGACAAAGTGTTGCCATTAGGCCTTCATATATGGTTGATATATACCATTTGCTCAGGAGCAGTTGTGATGAGCTGTTCACGTTTTTCAAGATAAGTGCCACTGTCGGGAGTGTTATCGATATTTGATGCAATCGATATCTTTTTTGAGTGATGCTTCAATCCTTGTCACTTCGGGATCGGAGCCACGCTGAAGCACGGCCATCGGTAGGCCTTCACCATAGAATTGCTGATCCCAAGCACTGGTTTCTATTGGAAAGTTCGTCGCCTTCACGTAGTATTTCTCGCCCATTTTCCGGAACGTCCACATTGTCGTACGCAGGTGTTTGCTGTCTGATGGACGTCAGATGGGTACCAATGAGTAGTGGGGTACCCCGTGAGAGCACAACGGCTTAGACAACCACGTTTACTGCCATCTCGGGGTACTCCATACCTCACTCCCTTGAATTACTCCTCTCAGTGGAATCTTACGCCTCAAATAGTAGATTTAATTTTCAATTCGTGTTTTTGACATCATCCGCGAAGATGACTCAATCCTGAGGAGCACATCACCAAATTTTCAAGTAGTTTCTAATATAAAATGCTTGCTGTTCTCAGTCAATAAAATATCATGCTACAGAGGGTCAAAATGCAGTCAAACGGATGGCTTTTTACAGACAACGCAGAAGCTTCTGAGCGTGTTACTTCACTCAACTACGGTGTGTGTCCTGCAGGCCATGTTGGGTTGACCTACAACTGAGTGTGTCGTACACGCAGGTGAACTAGATTGATTTCACGCGTATCCGAAATTCTTCACCGCATTTCTAGTAGGTGGAAGAACGAATCTGTAACGCCCATGTTAACCAGGAAATTGTTAACATGTAATAGTATGGTGAGGGTTGTGGATGTTCACCACGACTGATGAATGCGTCTCATCCATCATCTTCCATGTTTGAAACTCTGAAATCGTTTCCGTATGAGATTGCCACGCTTCATTTTATGCCTGATTTCTCTTTACATGTGAAGGTGCCATACCGAATTACTCAACGCGCTCAAGTCGGGATGCCCTATCCTACCAAGATAATCCGGTGAGATTCCTATATCCCTAATTTTCAATGCGTATCTACACTGTCTCATGCGGAACTTTCCCAGGTTATATCCCCACCTATCCGGATAGTACCCGAGATGAGATGTACCTGATAAAAAAGTCGAAGAGGTTATTTATTCACACACTGTGTGTCAGAGGAAGCAACTATCTTATCTGTATGGTTCCATACTAAAAATACCTGGGCCTGCCAACACCGTGTCCCACCTATGTCCCATACAGTTTCGGTTACCAAGGCGATTATAGTAAAACTGTCCGGACTATTGGCATCCAATGGATATTTTGTACGAAGAACTATCAGGTAGTCATAAAGCGGTAATGTGGCCTATATGTATCAATCACAGTAGACAGCCACGCCGAACATACCCTTGGAGAAAGAAATCTAGTCACCCTTTTTGGAGCTCGTCAATCTTCCACCCTCAGTAACTCACCGGGATGGATCCATGGACCTGATGTTTATTCTGAGCACTACCACTCATAATCCTCTTTCTGTTTTGTTCTGCCTGCTGTAATCGAAATGCAGGCAACCACAAAGTGCACTGCAACCCAGATTTTACACAGTACTTCGTTAGTGAACATTCACCTCCATTACGATGACGGAAAGTAATATCAGTAGTATAGGACTTGTGTAATCTTCAGCTGAGATGTCTAGGATTGTTGACTCTTTGGATAACAAAGAGTTTCGACTGATGAGAATGTGTTCATAACGACAGACAGTTATCGAATACCCCACCCATCGAACGGCGACCCAGTAGCTGTCCTAGTTGTGACGATCGATTGACCCGCTAGTCAGGTAGCGTGACACACGCTTGAAACCCACTGGGTAACTTTTCTGGCTGCAATGTTGGGTTTTGCGAGATAGGTATTTTGTTCATGGTCACACCACTCTCGTGATCCTGTACTGCGGTAATTATTCCGGTGAGTCCACACCAAAGGGAAGCACTGGACTCGAGTCTCGCTCGTATTAGAGCTCATAAGCTGTGCATATCCAATGGCCGTGTCGGAATTCGAACCGCCGACATCTGACATGCGGGGCGAGCGTGTAACCACTACTCCACCGACACACACATCTGAATTTTTACGTCTGAACAGGCGAACGTGTTCACACTTGAGTGATGTGATTGGTGTGCCCGACCCATCGAACGACGACCCAGTAACTGTCTTGGTTGTGACGAATACTACTGTAGAACCTGACATTGGTTTATCATTTGGAATGGTGTGAGCTAGCAAGCCAGCTGAATATCCTGTCCACCATATCCTTCAACCGAAAGCGTTGTCTATCGGCGCTCCTCAGTAATAAGGCTGGTATGTGGCATGAGTTGCTGCTTGTTAGGCGTATCCTATGAAACAGGGGCTTGTGCCACTGGCGTGCTCTTCGGTAGTTGCCGCACACCATCGTGCTATGGGTCAGTTCCACAACACGGAACATGATAGAATGATTCTGTGTTCCTTTTTGTTATCCCTCTGTAGCACACGTCTCGATATGACGATATCTTCACAGTCAACTTGAACTTATCGATCTACTGTTTAACCTTAAGTTTCTATTTTATCTTCCCTTAACAGTCAGTTAACGGCCCATCGCCAACTTTCGGAAGTGACGAACTCCCAAACAATTGCCCGCGCAGTCTGGCTAGCGGCAGAGCAAGGTATGTTCCCTTGAGTCGACCTGCCGACCTTAGGCAAATGTCCATAGTTAGCCCTCCCGCCCAATTAAATATCGGCCAACCGAAACCTCAGTCTCCAAGATCACCCAGGCCCGCATATTGCCGTACTCGTCAAAGTTCACAGTACAGAGATGACTCTGGAGATGATCAAGGTGCACCTTCGGATAGGCAACAATATCCACTTAGTTCTACCTGGAGCGAGTCCGTCCATTCTACCGTTCCAACAGATTCGACCAGTACAAATTCCGCTCCAGTATTTAATGAGTCATCGGCTATGAGTAATCGACATGGTCTGGTCCTGCGTTCTGGCCGAACGTATGAGGACTATGTCCAAGCAAGAGAGTTTGCACGTGACCTTGTGCAAAGCGAAAGTAGAATACCAATAAAGCTTCCGCCAACGGAACGCGTCGGAAGTCATGTAGAAGCAAAACCACCGTCTCTTGTGCCCTATAGTAATACGAATTCTGGAGACGATACATCCAACACGCCCTCAAGCACTACACAACCAGTGCCTCGGAAACCGTTGAATGTCAGTTGCCTTGTATCACAAGACAGAAGTTCAGAGGGTGCTCCAGGTCTCAGTGTCCACGCTGATTTGGATACATCTACCGAAACGGCAAGTTACACTCAACCCACATTCAGTAGACCGGGGCAAGACTTGAACAGGTGGGCACATGGTTTCGTTCTGTCAGTCTGTTTGGATTTCTGTTACCCGTTGGTATTGGAACATTCAGATGTGTACTACCCTTTTACTAGTAAAATTACTGAACTTATTTTCCATTTTTTGCCGTCTTTCTTAGACCCAATCGAACACCAAACATTCAGCATGGAACCGAGTCGTACAACCGAAAACCCGAGGGTAAATTGAATAAATTTTGTTACGAGTGTGGTAGTCCATTCCCGAACGCGACCGCAAAGTTTTGTCCCGAATGTGGGATTCGACGTTTAGCTGTATGACCGATCCGCTACCCAATCTTCTCCCCTAACCAGCACGCTCAACCCGGATTATTTTATTTGATCTCATGCATCTCTTACTGAAGAGGAGAAGTCACTCCTCCCGGACAGGCTGTGACGTATCTAATGTTTCTTTCAGAGCAACCTCACTTTTCTGCATTGTTTCCATTCCACCCCCCGTCCTCAATTTGCCAATTATCTCACATTGTCATTGTCGCGCCGGACAGTAACATCCACGCTTATAGTGCCTGAAATTATTCTCACCATTATCCCTCAAAAGTCTCATCAAGCTATGCAATGTACAATGAGAATATAAATGATGGAAGTAGTTTGTACTTTTATGTTTCAATCCCTAAGCTCATGCGCATGGGCAGCGAGAATTCGATACATTCAATAGGCAACTGCAGTGAGGTAAAGTAGAGTGAGCGAGTTGACAATTAACCTGAGCTTGCCATGAGTGAAATGATGAAACTTCCATCTGTCTTCGGTCGTTCTGTCTCCACAGATTGCCGCTGTATGAAGTGTTTTCGATTTTATGGTAACCCTCTGTGCAGAGCACATGAAATCACAAAACAAAGGTGGCTCCTTCTAAGAGGTAAATGACCATAAGAAATGCCTCCTCGGAGACATAATCCTATCTGGAAAGAAAAACAGTACAGAGTTGTGTGTGACAGACCTCTGCTTACGCACCTGTCCCGTTCGATGTCCACTGTCTCATCCGACTGCTGTGGTCTCTGTCTAAAGGCTGGTCCATTTATTGGTGATTGTCATTCTTAGATTTGAAATTTTCTGATAGTTTACTGTTAATGGACCTTATTTTCAGATACACTAAACTACTCAATGCATTGGAATTGATGTTTTATGACCACCTTTCATAGAATCAACCGCGTTTAAGACCCATTGTTATGTTTTGAACAATACGCGCCTCAGCGTAGATAACGATTCAGAAATTCTCGATCAAAGCAATCCTTCACTTCGTATTTCTTGTTTGTAGCCTTCCTCAGACACGAGTACTAAACCCATTATTGTCCGAATAGCCCAGTAAGAAGTAATCCCATCCCACTGAAGATACACACATTTCGCATTGTCACACCAACACATTGAACACAAAAATGAGGATCAGTCACTTGGTTACCTCTCTGAGAGGCTGGTCGGGTTATCGAAAAACGCCGCGGATGACAGCACTAGGTTCAAATTTGATTAAGTCCAGTTGCTGACCATCATCAGCATTTTCTTCAGTGGTAAATGCGTACATTCTGTACAGTTGTTATGGATGCCACAATTTCGTTCAGTCAGGTGGACAACCACGGATTCGAGGCGACAGCTGATTTGACCACTTGGTCGGTACAACCTCAGCAAACTTCAAGTCACGAGACTACCGCCGGTTAAAAAGGACCGAGTAGCTGCCGGAGGAGCATGAACTTGATGACGTCGCACTATGATATTTGTAGTAGTTCGAAAGTTGATGACTTCGGCCCAAACGGGTAAACGCATCGTCATTCTGGTATTCTGTCGCGACCCTGTCACATGTAAAAAATGAGGTCTGGCCCAGATAGCAGTATTCTCCTTGGATCTGATTGTTAACACCTCAGTCTGCCTCACAGTAGCCCAATCCGCTGCGATTATCTTCCTTTCAGTGTCTACTGAGGTTGACATGTACCCCTTGTAGAGTAATTTCTCGAATGCGAGGCATTCGCAGGACCTCCAAACTATTGAGCACCTTGACTGGTCATCTTAGTTGCCTCCGGTGTTTGATTTCAGCGAAAGTTTATCATGAAGTTCTGCTGCATCCGAAAAACCTGATATTTACCGGATACGCCGTGACACTGAACTTTGCCTCAGCTTACCTTACTTTGCCATCAGCTAAGCAAAGTTTCGCTACGGCTTCCGCGGAAATTGATAACTGGGTGAGGTCGAGAATTTTGCTGAGTATTGTTCATTTGATGATGACCTCTTTCTTGCATTTGGAATCCCCTAGTCTTAGCAATAAGCAGATTGACTTGGTTTCTTGTTGTCATGACCACTGGGTTACCATGGTTCCGTAGCATCAACCGTTTCATAAGAAATTAGTGGTGGACTTTTGTAATCCACAGTTTCCACGCGTCCTTGATAGTCCCCATGCTACTACCCCAAGTGTGTTGTTGGCTAGCTTTGTTTTGCCTGAGCTCCGTCGTGTGTAGCTAGCGACTCCATTCACAGCCAACTGACACCTTGATAGTTTAACGGTAACTTCCCCATTATGTAGTTTGTTTGCTGGTGGATTTAGAACTGGAATTTGTTAAAGTTGCATGTTACATCTTCGGAAATTTCTGCTTAACTTCTCCGATTGAATTGCAGAGCATCCGTTATGAACTTCTATCCAAGAGATACACGTCTCTCCTAGTTGTGCGCGTGGGTCTCGAGACTATTTTTCGTAGCAACCCCCTAAGGCACCTATTGATGGAATGCTTCATTTTTAGGCTACGAACCACTTGCTGACAAATGCGAATAGGAGACCTTGTTATCCTTCCATCCAGCTTATTTTTAAACGGTAAAGTTTGAAATTTCATTAGAACAAATGGGTTACTTCCTCGCCTAGATTGTCCAGCGTTCCTCAGGTTTGCGGTGGTTGGACTGAAGAAAGCGATCATGCATGTTCCGAGCGACTATTAGTGAAAGGCTCGTACGGTATAAGCCATGACATGGCAACGTGAAATGAACGCGGAAACAGTCAGTTTGAGTGTTGTAGAATCTTTGTACTTTCATGGACATGGCTTAAGTAACCCATCTAGCAGGACAACTGATCCTAAAGGCAAAAAATAACCTGACTGTCTGACGAAAGTTCGCCTGTCGTGTTTTGGACTTATATCGAGGGAGATTCTCAAAGGCCGCTGGGTTGATCTAAAGGCAAAACATAAAGTGATAACCTAACTTGACTGTCTGACGGAAGTTCGCCTGTCGCGTGTTGGACTTATATCGGGGGAGATTCTCAAAGGCCGCTGGGTTGATCCACTACTTCGGCATGACGCCAAAATATCTTTATTTCCCTGCTGTCCAGATGTCTTAACATCGGATCCCTTTGCATTAAACCTGCACGCTTCCATACTCGTCCACTGCGACAAATATCAGCGGCCACTTGGCTACTCGTTTGTTTCTTAGTAGTGCACTTTTTAGCGCATTTCAACAGAACCGCTCAGAACGCCGGTCAAGAGGTTTAGCTGCACCGAGCACCTGAAACGATTCAGTTTTTGATTTTATTGGAATCGCATGTGGCCGGATCTATTCGGGTCTTGCCGGACCGCTTTTGGTATGGTAAGCAAAGTGAATCAACCTTTTTGTCAACCTATCTTTGACCTTTTTATCCTTAGAGATGTCCCACAAAAATATCACGGGTTTCGACTTGTTATTATAGACGCACTGGCCATCCATCCACTGAGTTTTTCAGAAAAGTGCCGTCGGTTGACCGCTGACAGCAGCAGGTAGGTTCACAGTTCAGCCACCAAAACAGAAGTCGTTCGAGGACATGCCGATTTGATATGTGTAACAGGTTATCTAAGTGCACGTCAAGTGAATAATGACAACAGAAACGTTGGTATTCTTATTATTAGGCCTTGAAGCAGGATGATGCGTCAATTTGGCCTGCCAGACCGGCGGAGGGTTTGTTGATTGTCATTCTAACACAACTTCGTTCAGAGCTATCCATCAGAAGGTGGATGTCTACACACAGATACAGCTAGACAAAGATTATGGACTTGTTCTATGGTGGTGTCTTCATACGCTGGCCTTTTTCAACGCTTATTTAAAGCAGTGGAGTCTAACTAGTCTGTACTGTGCACCCTCTTCATTATATCGGAGAACCTCCTTCCGTTATCACGTTCCATTGTCCTGAAATAGTGCAACACATGATAAAAAAACTAGTAAGTAGTACGCGGTTTACCGAAGTTACTTCTCTGGTGTTCTGCAAGTTCACTCTCGAAGATATGATGTCAGTCAAAAGGGGTAGCTCCACTAACCATGGTGGATCACACGGAACAACATCCAGGATAGCACTTTGTCCACTGACCGCTGACTTGTACATCGACACGAATAAAACCTAAAGAAGACTGCTTACTGCCTTGGGACAGGTTTTCATTTCCAGAGTAGGTTCCTCTTTAAAACCAAATGAGAGTGAGTAAAGCTAACAGAGAGCTTAAACAACTGTGGTGAGCGTGCAACTAATACGCAGCTTATGGCTTGCCTCGAGGAAGATGTTCACAATTATGACAGCTTGGCGTCACCGGCTGCTGTTGGGTCATAAGAAGCCGGGTTACGCATCCCTACGACAATCAATGCAAGGATTTAAAAGGTGACACTGCCTGTTAGCCTCATTTTCTCCGACACTTTTTCTTTCTTCAGACTGCCCCACACCATCATTATTTGAACTTTTGTTAATTAATTATTGGGAATCTACTCTGCTTAATGTGTTCAGAGAAAGATAAAAGGAGAATTGCAGAACGTTTTCAAGCCTATCAGCATTGAAGGCGATAGCAGCGGTAGCAAGTGATGAAACAGTATATACTGTGTGGCAAGCTGGGGTCAACTGCGGGAAGTACAAGCCATAAAAAATGTTAAGAATGTTACCAAAAGACAACACCTGCAGTGGTGGCAGTAAATGAACTAGCATGCGAATGGACAGCTTTATTGGAATGAGAGGAGGTTTCGTACAAAAGTAATCTTGTGATCCTGTGAGATAAACTGTTTCCACACACTGACCCTGACAATCAGTTTACACGAGGTCTGATGTCTCTTGCGCCAGTCTAACTGGCCAGATTAGTATTAAATCAATTCATATGCTTCGTGACTGCTCTACACACCTAGGTGTACACCAGTCTTGCGGCCCGGTACTTCCTTCGTGTTGGAATTTCCTCCGCTCTTTCATGGAATGGTTGTCCTTATTTTTAGGTTCCTTGAATCTTCCACAATCAAAGGAATGCATGAGAATGACAGCGGCTCATATGTTTTCATATGATATA